GCGATGTGTTTCAGTCCTTGCATTTTGGCTTCGTGGGAGAGAATGTTGTGGGTGGCAGTGATTTGTCAAATCCCACGTGAGTTTCTGGTGTTTATTTGCGTTTAATCCTTACCAAGTAAAACTTTTTGGTCCTTTGTGTGTTGCCATAGTCGGAAGCAGGCTGCATTGTATAGACACACACATCCACACATGCGCACACACACACACACACACACCATTGCAACATTTCACAGACAGCTGGGCAACTATGTAGCGTGAGACGCTGGCCTTTAAATTCTGGAGAATATTCCGCTTAATTGAACAGCAGTGTGTATGTGAATGATACACAGAGAGTGTTAGTATGCAGAGATGGTGTCAGTGTAGGAGAGAGTGTGTGTGTGTGTCTGTGGGCCGCAGATATCAAAGGAGAGGGGTCGAGGAGTTTGGAGGTTGGATTTCAGGGAACCAGCCTCAGCATCTCCAGTGTCCTGCAAACATACTGTATGCGTCTTTTGTGAAATGCATAACAGCATGAGTCACAGTGTGTTTGTATGTCTGGATTTTAGTGTGTGTCTGTGTGTGTGTGTGTGTGTGTTTTGGATCCGTGCATTCCAGCTCAAAGTTCAGTAGATCTGCACCATGCCCTGCAATGCTACTTGCTAATCCCTTCCCAGAATGGCTGTTGCCAGGCAGAGAAATTACCCAACGGGGTAATGGGACTCAAAGGAAACTCATTTATAACTGTTGATGACATAGACTGACAGTCAGTCATATGCAATTCATAGCTTGCATATGATTGATTAAATTTTTTTTTTTTTATGATTGGTGTGTATCTTTATAAGTATTTAAATGATTTTAATTTATGAGCTTTGTATCCAGTGTGACATGTTTGTGTTGGGAAAAAATAAATCCCTGAACTCCTCAGGAACCAGCGGACTAAGAAAAAGCCGAAGTCTTGTAATACTTGGTTTGAAGAAGAAAAATGGCAGCAAAATATTTGCAGCCTTGAGAATAGTCATACTCAGATAAACTTCTGTCCCCCGCGGGTATTACGCACATCTAAGATAAGATAAGATATTCCTTTATTCATTCCACAACGGAGAAAAATCTGGGTAATAAATTGGGATTGTCTTTGTTTTAACATTCTGTTGAATGCTGTAGAAAATGTTGGTATCACACAGCCAAACGTCACAAAAAAAAGAAGACCTCCAAATCCTAAATCCCAAACTAAAACGACATTAAAGACCATGGCACTGGTCAAGGAAAGCCTTGATTCAGTTGGCTGAAAAAAAAAAAATATGCAAGTCATGTTGAAAGGCTGAGTAACAACCCACATGTAAGAACAGCCTTTTAACTGCATGTTTCAAACTATCACTGCTGGACACGCTTAACATGTGTCCAGCAGTGAGGAAAGACGAACGAGTTGGTTTGTAAATCAGAAATTAAAGCATCTTCATGGAACAATTGTGTTTGCACATAGGGAGCACACATTAGTGCAATGGGAAAAAATATAGAAAACATTGAAATGTGATCACGTAGCTAGTTGATATAACACACTTTATAATGCTTACTTACACATTCATTGCGGAAAAATCTGTTAGAGGTATTTCTGCTTACCATGTTGAGTAAGTGTTTAGCTCTATTTATGGCCTCTAACAACTCCGAAGATATTAAGCTGCAAAAAAAGTACATTATGTTCATCATCTAGTGTCTTACAATGTCTCTTCGCTTCTGGTGCTGAGCAGGTTGTGTGCAGTAGGTTGTGTAGCTGTGAAACGAGTATAGTGAAGTACAACAAACAAACCAAATAAGATTCACATTCTGAATGTCTTGAAATGATTAAGATACAATTCTCACTCTGAAGGAAATCCTTTTTGATTTTGTACTTTACTGTGATTTCTAATATGGACATTGTGCTCCGCATAAAATTGTAAATTTGTACTGCACCACAAATATTAGTGAAAGAGTGAGTGGTAAACTGAGGAGATATTGTATGGGAAGTTACTGTAACTTACAGTTAATCAGTGCAGCTGCCTCTAGCAGTTCTGACTTACCTCCACTGGGCTTAAGCCATTAGCTGTTCCTGCATACACACACACACACACACACACACACACACACACACACACACACACACACACACACACACACACACACACACACACACCAGTTGTTTTGAAACTAACTAGACAGAAGTGGACTAATGGTGTGATTGAGCTAAAATAAAGTAATTGCCCCCATGCCTGATGTGCTTGATGCTATTTAACTCATAGGAGTTATATTTTATCTGAATGCTTGCTAGACAACTTAACATTCACAATTTTCTATCTTAAACAAAATGAAAGTGTGTGTGTATGTATATATATATATATATATATGTGTCTTTGATTTGTTTTTTTAATTCCCTACCCAACAGCAGTACATATCCTCTCTGTCCTTAATGGGTTGTCTTGGGACATCTGTGAAACCTGAGAATCAGATGTATCAGATGCTCAGAGACAAACTTTCTCCTCTTACATGAACCCTCAGAAACATCTCCACTCTTTTATGTTTGTAGATATTTAAGATCATTCGTTTTTGATGAACATTTATATCTAAAGTATATAAAGAGATGCTGCTGTGCTGAATTCTTGTGATCGTGAAGAAGAGTTTTTATCTGTACCTTCATATGTGTGCCTGAAATTTGAAGATGAGTTTGTGTGTGTGTGTGTGTATGTGTGTATGAAGACAGCTGCTACGTGTCCATCAAAAGCAGCACCACATTCCCTGCTTTGAAGTCACTGTCACACACTTAAGCAAACATACTGACACGCAGCTTTTTCTGCCTCATTGGTCACCTCTTTTAGACTTTTCATCAGAATGTTGAGGAAGAATCAGCATTGTTTGTAATCTCTAAAGTCATCATTGACTATTTATGTTTGCTAATGCACTTCAAAACGTTGTCGCTTCATTAGTTTAGATTGCATTCTGACACCTTTAATGGAAATTAGAGAACAGATGTTTGGTTGTTACTTGTTTTCAACAGAAGTCATGATGCATTGAAACAGCAGAAAATTTCAACTATAACTGGTTGAAGTTGTCAATGCTTCTCAGTTAGCTCTTTTGGAGCTTCATTCACAAAACAATACAATACAGGGCATGATACACTAACTAAAATATCAAGATACAACAATTCTGTGATAATTGATAAACGGAAATCATATAATGATACATCACAATATCTGATTAGCTGAAGAATACAAAAGGCCCCTTAAAAGGTAAAGTCCAGGGTTGATTTTTTTATTTATTAGACTTTGATGTCACTTTCCCCTCTTGTCATGCCTCACCCATTAACTTCTTTCACCTTTGTGTGACATCATCCCGCTGCTTCTTCTTTAAAATTTACAATTTTAACTTCCATCCAAATTCCATATTTTGCAATATTTGAGCAGCATTAAAGTGCATAGAAACTCATTTTCAAATGATTTGTGTGGGTATTATGTATTTATAGCATCAGAAAAAAAACCCTTTAATTAAAGGGTAATCTTTCCAGCCTAGTATTGAGTAACAAATAGAGGAATGAGTGATACAGTATGTATGACACAGTCAAGTCACATTATTTTACTGTTAACTTTGTTTTTGAGAGGAAAAAAACCCACTGTGAATGTAAGCACACTTTGTGTCTCTGCAGTGGACATGAGAAGGATAAATTATGAGTCAATGTGAGTGAATGTTCTAGATAAAGAAAAGGGGGGGAGGGAAATATCAGAGGCGCTATTAGTCTGCACTCAGTCACAGTTTATTAACTGTCATGAAGGCGTCCAAAGTGTCAGCTTTTAGTAATACATTTCTTTTGCTGGAATGCAGGTCAATCCAATGTGTCTGACTTTATCACTCAAAAAGAAGGAGTGTGTGCATGTTTGTGTGTTCATTTTTGTGTCTCACCCTTTCTCTGTTCGACTTTCTCTCGCTCTCTGAATGTGCTGCCTGGTATGTCTCCTTTCCCCCCGGGATGGGCTCCGATCTGACAACAGCGAGGCCTACACCCCGCTCAGGAAACCCATCCCACTGAGACAACTAGCTGGCCATGCACTCTGTGCGTTTATGCCATGTTCCTGCCAACCAGCTCTTAATACAAACAAGACATTTGTTGGTGAAAGGGCACACTGATTCACATGCATTTAATTCAAACTTTGCACAGACTTCAGGATCGACAGCTTCTAACTACCTCCTTCCTGGCACTGTAAAGGACAAACGTGCAATGTATTTTATTTATTGTCAACAGTATTGATTTTGTCCTATTCTGCAAAATTCTCAACCAAGCTTAAAAGCATTAGTGCCCACTTACGGTGCCGCAAAATGTTTCCGTAATGGCTTTTCTCTGAAATTCCTGCCAGAGCAGCTCATAGCAGGTTCACCCAAGGACGCTGGTGTAGTCGATCGTTTTTGAGAAGTATTTACTTTTACATGAGACCCATTTCCAAGAAGAAGAATGTGACAGAAAGAGGAGGAGGCTTTTCTTTAAGGTCAAAACATAAAACTCTTTTGTGACGTCTCTTCCTTCTCTCCAGCACGTTGTTATTATTCTCCTTCTCTATAAAGATAGATAGAGTATCTCTCTGTCTCACTCTGATGCTTTCTGTCTTGACCCCTTTACCATCTTCCTGTCTGTTATGTTCCTCGGTGGTGGTTTTCTATAGTCATTCTTTTTTGTCAAACTTTATATTCTGGTGCGTCAGAAGGAAATTGCCTCCTATAATAACCACAGTAGAGGAGCCAATGACCTCTGATTCAAAAGCTGTTAAACAATATGAGGGATGAAAACCAGCACCGGATGAAGAATTTAACCAGAAAACTTTGTGTCAGTAATTCTGTGAAAGAATAATGGGAGGATGAGAGGCTATAGTTGGCTTTAGTCCTTGAAACTGCAGTCACTGTGTAAACTCTATAACTGTAACTCTGAAAGTGAAACCTTGGAATCTCTTAAGAGTTTAAGTAAAGTCTGTAAATAAGTGATCCTCTGTTGATGACTTCCTCAACAGGTAACCCACTATGTGCGGGACAGAGAGGAACCAAACCTGATCCATCCCGCCAAAAAGCTCCTGCAGCCTCGCCCTGTATGTGTGTGTCTCAGAGAGTCATCGCACACTTGCAACGCCATTCAAGCCGGACTAGATCGGAACCTCTCCACTGATGCCCGGAGGTCTCCTTATCCTCTGAGGTTTGTAGCATTTTAAGTGTTATGTCTTTTGTTTAATCATGTTCATTACAGCACCATTTTTGTGAGATAACAAAACAAAAGAGTAAAGAAGGGAGGCTAACAGTTGATTAGATGTGGGAAAAATGCTTCTGTAACTTACTCTAAACAGGTCCTGTATGTTGTGTATGTATGTATGTTGTGAAGTAACAGAGAGACGCTCTGTATTTAGCTCAGATGATAATCTGAACATATTGGACTCTTGGGTCCACCAACACATGCTAATATTTTTAATCATGTTGGCTTTAGAATAATAGGACAAAGTTGTAGACACTTCCAAATATATTTTGTTACACTCAACAGACCAAACCTAACTTAAAAAGGTCCAAATTCATTCAAGCTAAAGGATAAAGTTAAAGCATATTTATTCACTCTAGACTCCTCTAATCATCAAGATAAGAATTAATTCTCTGAATTTTAGGTTTGGCAAAATGACAAATACAATGTCACCTACGATTACTAACCATACTGCATATATGATAAAGTGTACTTACATCACACTAAATACAAATACTATATGTAAACACTAATGTTAAATGACATTTAATGATCAGAGTAGAGTCACAGGTTAACTTTTGTTGAAGGGTTGGTTTTCACCAACTCTCTGCATTATATCGCCACCATTTTTCCAATTACTCATTTTTTTGTAATGATACTGGACCATAAATCATTCACTTCTCTTGCAGTGTTTCATTTTGTTATTTGTTCTTAGAGTTTCAATCAAGTGTTTATGATTAAAAAAAAAAAAAACACGAATTGAATGCACACGTAACACTTGTTTTTTAAATTTTTGTTATGAATTTCCAGGCTTTATCGTGCTTGTGACCAGAGGACATCCGTGTGTTCCCTGCTGACAGGATCTCTACTGGAGGCCACAGCCGCTCTCGGTGCCCGTTCCACTCTAACTTACCCGATGCCACAAGGCCCCAACGGCCACGCCGTGCTGAAAGGTAGGTGCTCTACTGCATTGTGGACGTGTTTTGTTTGTCTGAAGCTTTGAGTTTTTTTAAAAAGCTTGTATTCTTGTGAACATCGTATTCAGTGCCTCGTTGTGAAAACTTGTGTTTCAAAAATAGCAGCACAAATCAAACTGTGGGGCGCTGGTGGCGCAGTGGTGCGAGCACCCCATGTATGGAGGCCTCCAGGCGGGCGGCCCAGGCTCAATCCCACCTGTGGCTTTTTTCCCGCATGTCATTCCCTACTCTCTCTCCCTGATTTCCGACTCTATCCACTGTCGTAACACGGCAATGAAACACACTCAAACACGCATTCACCGGGTTATGTCTTAACATCTGAAAAGAGGTCAAATGCACTTCAATCATGGCTGCCCTCCTTTTGTGTAAGCTAAGCAGTGTTAGCCTGATATCCGGATTTACTTGGGTGTTTTATACATAATATGCATGCACATGTCCACAGCTTATTTGTCCATGCAGTAAGAAAAACTTTAAATGTTTTACAACATTTTTTAAAAATAAGATAAGAAATTAGAGAGTGAGTGTAACCTCTCGTGTGCTCTCTGTATGACTTCATTATCCAACCAGTCGGGCAGTCGTTCATTCGCTCAGCTGGTAACTGTCTGTCCACCTTCTCCACAATGATGTTACGTATGACTTCAATGTAAGCTGATCCTGACATTCATTTCCACAGGCAGTGGGCCAGGGGACAGGCTGTCTCTGGCAAGATCAAAGAGACACACACACACACACACACACACACACACACACACACTCAACTATTTGCAGACAATCAAACTATATTTCTCTATTTGTTTCTCTCTGTCTTTTCAGTTCAGGCAAGTCGTAGTTTTTGAAACTAAATTTTTTTTATGACTAGCTTAAGAGGCAAAAAAAAAAAAAGTCTAACACACACTCAGAGCAAATATCTTTAACATGACACCTTGTTCTGTCCTAATGGGTGTTGCAGGAAACAGAATAGAGCCAGACACGCGCACACATAGCAGCTTAGAAGTCTTGGCAGGACTTGGGTTTCATAGTCACACAAACACACACACTCTGACTCAAACACATACACGAACATGAGAGACTCCCTGTCTAACCCTCTCTGTCTCTCTAACCTAGTGCCAAAACTACCCAGATATTACACAAGAGCATTAATAACTTAGACCCCCACCCCAATAATTTCTTGTCTTTTTAAGAAGTGCTCTGTTTCCCCTCATCCTATCACCTCTGCCTTCCACGCGCACTTAAACCACAAGTTTGCGTTTGACTGATTTGACATTTAAGTGTACCAGATTAAGTGTCATTTCTCTACAAATGACATCAGAGACGTACACTGTAGTTTCAGCTGTTTGTAAAGTTTGGTCCGCTTGTTAGTCCAAAACAAAGAAATGTAGTCCTGATTGAAAGGAAAGACTAAATTTGAAAATTGTATTGTGCGATTTTAGGAAAAGTTGTTTCTAGCTAATGGCACTCTTTCTTACAGAATATTGGCATGAATTTGACACATGACGCTTTGTTTGAAATCGACATGAAAATTCAGAAACAATGAAAACACTTGGTGTGAAAACATGTAAATCTGTGCAAATTGCTATATCTGTCACTCCTTGTTTGTAACAGATTGTTACGGTCATTTCCATGTCCATTACAAAAGCCAAAATGTACCTGCTGCACCAGTCTGTGCATGCATTGTCTTAAAACACAGTATGGTCATTTGTGTTGTTGTTCTCAATTCTGTCTTGAGGCAGCATAGAGGATTGGCATACTTGAACACTTAAAACTCTCTCTTAAGTAATCAGAAAAGTATTTCTCATCATTGAACTGGGCCTTATTCATAAAGTAACATGCTTGGACTCTTTTACATACACAAATCTTTTACATTCACAAAGAAGCCCAGCAATGCTCCTATTCTTCAATTAAAGGTCTTAAATATTGTTTTTCGGGTGATTCCAAAAGAGGAGGACATGCACATGGCTCACTCTAATGCTAACCTTTTCACACAAATCAGACACACATCCACACTCACATATGCACCTAAATTTCCTTAAGCCTACTGTAACTACCAGTACCAAGGATAACCATGCCAACATATATGTATACACAGTATAAACTGTCCAGAGAGAAGTTAGATGAGCATGCCTGAGTCATGTCTAAATACTAAAAATAGCTACATCTGCGATATAAACAGTACTGCACAAAAAAACACCAATTGGACTCTGTTGGTTTGATTAGTTACCTCCAAAACTCACCTATTATTTTTAGAGAGTCTCAATACAACCCCTATTCCCTGTCTTTACGTCATATATGCACCTTTAAACTAGAGAAGGAGGCTTTAACTCATCCTAATAGCACATGCACACCATGCTACTTGAACATGCACTGTTGATCTTTACAAGTGGTCTACCTCCTCCAGAAAATCAAAGGGTTTTCCCTCACTGGTGAGGGTCATCTTTCTGTCACCTCCGTAGAAAAGCCATTGTGTTCTCTCTCCATACATTTCCTCTTCTGCTTTCATTTAGCCTTCATCCTGTTCTTGAAGTTCAAATGCACCTGTCTTGTAAAGGAAAATCTATTGTTCCTAACATTGTTTTTAAATCTGTTTCTTTTGAGGTTGTACTTCTATTTTCCTTTTTTTTATTGTTTTGCTTCATTAGTTGTAAGTAACATTGGATCAGAATAATCCTTTATTCCCTAGGCAAACTATGTGATTTGGTTTGTTGACCTTTAAAGCTAAGATCTGGATGGATTAGTATTCAATATTTCAAATATTGAGTAACCAGTAGCAACATGAAGTGTTACATTTGACAAAAAGTGGATATTCTTTCTTAGTGTCAGTGTACTGCATATTTTCAGGGAATTACAATTTTTTTACAGATACTCCGAAAGACCCCTTGGTTACAACATACAGATTTGATAATTATCAGGTTTTAATGTGTGTGTACAAGAATCACCTTTGATCTTCTTTTCCCTTGTGAATACTTAGTGCTTGTGGTTATCCTACTGTTCCTCTCCTCTCCTAATAAGGTATTGATTTTAGATACGGTGTTATTCTAGCAAAACTGGGGCTGGAAGTACAATTTAGCAAACTCGATCACTGCCTCTGGCCCAAATGCTTTCAGGGATTACCGGGCTAATCGCCTGGCAAACCTCAGTGTATTCTTAGAGTTTTAATGTGAGTGTTGAGAGGAGGAATGTTTAAAGACCTTCTTCCCGTGCCACGTCTACCTTAATAACGTGATACTTTTTTTTTGGCTGCGTCCTCTAATGTACAGTATGTACATGATTTATGTCTGTCCGTCTGATGGCGATCATTGGGTTTTGCAAGCAGGTCAGGAGGAAAGTTTTGGAGATGGTATATCATGGTGTTTAACAGGTTGAGTTTGCACATGTCGAGGTGAGTATGACAGGTTTGTGTTGTGAGGGTAAACTGACACCTATAAAGACAAATACTGGTCCTGGAAAAAATGTCATCTGGGTAAGAGCGGGTAAAGGTCAGACGTGTGTGTGTGTGTGTGTGTGTGTGTGTGTGTGTGTGTGTGTGTGTGTGTGTGTGTGTGTGTGTGTGTGTGTGTGTGTGTGTGTGTGTGTGTGTGTGTGTGTGTGTGTGTGTGTGTGTGTGTGTGTGTGTGTGTGTGTGTGTGTGTGTGTGTGTGTGTGTGTGTGTGTGTGTGTGTGTGTGTGTGTGTTGCTTGAATACAAATGGTGGAGATACCCGGGTCATAAAGGACATTATTTAATGCTGACGTTAGAGATAATTCACTACATTACATAGAGGGGGCTTTTGTTTTTATAGAGCTTGTCTTTGTTGAATTAGTGGAGTCTGATACCCACTCAATGTATGTAAAAGATACTGTTGATATGTTAGGCTTTTGCACACAAATCATGCTATTTGCAAAAAAAATGAACACGATTTATACATTTGATGTGAAGGCATTGGCCTATATTGTTTGATTTCTATCATAGTTTTGCTTCAGTTGGTTACAGCTTGATATTACAGTTTGCCAATAATTTGGGGTCTATGACAGATATAAATTGGTATCAGGCGACATGAAACTTTTTTGTTCATGGAAGACAGATTTCAGAAAACACTGCTGAGGGGTTAGATAGAAATGGCTCCATCACACACACACACACACACACACACACACACACACACACACACACACACACACACACACACACACACACACAGTACATTTTCACTTGAAATGTACTCGTTTCCTTTTCAATCTCATAAATTCCATATTGGTTTGTATACAAATGCATTATATGATCATTAAAAGTCACCACAGTGACATTATAGGTGATTGAATGATATACAATACTTAACTACTCTCATACTTAGATAATTCTTAACACATTAAACATGCTAAAATATTTCAGTAGTGGAGAATATTCTGCCATTTGAAGAAGAACACTTTAGGCTCAACTTGATTGAAATGTTGGACGTTGTAAGGCTTGGATGATTGATACAACATATTGATTAGATGTCATTGTAAAAGGATTGTTAATTGCAGTCCTAATGAACTCAGTTTATTTATCAGTTTCTTTCATTAGGTATTCTCTTGTTTTGCTGTCATCCCTTATAGATTCACTTAAGAATCAAATTATTCAGTTTGTAAAGACAAACTCGAAAAGAGAATTCATACAAATACCAGCTGTGGTAGGAAAACACATGACATAAATATGACAAATTGATGCTTAAGATTAGTTGAGTCTGTATCATTCTTCACAAAGTGGATTTTTGTGTCCTTTCTATTTGCCTCATTCACTGCCAAAGAACACAAAGTTTTAGTAAGTAAAAGAAAAAATTGTCCGATGCCTTTAGGGATTTAACCATGTTCATGTGAGCTATGAATGGTACTGGTTTTATTCCACTCCCTGACCTTGTTTCCTTTACAACACAATTTACTGCTGGAACAGAAGTAAGCAGTTCAGAGATCTGCAGCCATCCTCCTGGCTCAAAAAATTGTGTTTCTCTCTTCCTCTTCTGT